GTCACTATACCCCCACTCCCTCTAACATGTAAACTCACTGAGCAGGCCCTCAATCCCTCTGTTACTGTGTCACTATACCCCCACCCCCTCTAACATGTAAACTCACTGAGCAGGCCCTCAATCCCTCTGTTACTGTGTCACTATACCCCACTCCCTCTAACATGTAAACTCACTGAGCAGGGCCCTCAATCCCTCTGTTAATGTGTCACTATACCCCACTCCCTCTAGCATGTAAACTCACTGAGCAGGGCCCTCAATCCCTCTGTTACTGTCACTATACCCCACCTCCAACATGTAAACCTCACTGAGCCGTGGGCCTCAATCCTCCAGCACTGTCACTCATACCCCACCTCTAACATGTAAACTCACGAGCGGGTGTCACTCAATCCTCTGTTACTGGTTACCATACCTCCACTCCCTCTAACATGTAAACTCACTGACAGGGCCTCAATCCTCTGTTACTGTGTGTCACCATACCCCTCTCCCTCTAACATGTAAACTCACTGAGCAGGGCCCTCAATCCCTCTGTTACTGTGTCACTATACCCCACTCCCTCTAACATGTAAACTCACTGAGCAGGCCCTCAATCCCTCTGTTACTGTGTCACTATACCCCACTCCCTCTAACATGTAAACTCACTGAGCAGACCCTCAATCCCTCTGTTACTGTGTCACTATACCCCACTCCCTCTAACATGTAAACTCACTGAGCAGGCCCTCAATCCCCGTTACTGTGACTATTCTCAGTCTCACTTACCTCCTGTCCCTATTCTCAGAGTGCCACACTCACCTGTCCCTTACAGTTCACTAGGAGTTGGAGGGAGATGGACACAAGAAGAAATTGCTTCAGCATTCTGGAAGATGTTTCTACCTACAAATCAAAGACAACCACATTCACTAATGTCCCTATCTGTTCGTACCTACCTGTATCCATGTGTTACCTCTCTGTCTATTCACTCGTGAGTATTACCAATAAGTATCCCCCCAGTGAGTATTACCCCTCAGCATATCTTCCAGTGAGTATTACCCCTCAGTATATCCCCCCCCCCAGTGAGTATTACCCCTCAGTATATCCCCCCCAGTGAGTATTACCCCTCAGTATATCCCCCCAGTGAGTAATGCCACTCAGTATATGCTCCAGTGAGTATTATCCCTCAGTATATCCCCCAGTAAATATTACCCCTCAGCATATCCCCCAGTGAGTATTATCCCTCAGTATATACCCCCCAGTAAGTATTACCCCTCAGTATATCCCCAGTAAATATTACCCCTCATATCCCCCAGTGAGTATTACCCCTCAGCATATCCCCCAGTGAGTATTACCCCTCAGCATAATCCCCAGTGAGTATTACCCTACCCAGTATATCCCCCAGTGAGTATTACCCTACCCAGTATATCCCCCAGTGAGTATTACCCTACCCAGTATATCCCCCAGTGAGTATTACTCTACCCAGTATATCCCCCAGTGAGTATTACCCTACCCAGTATATCCCCCAGTGAGTATTACCCTACCCAGTATATCCCCCCGTGAGTATTACCCCCCAGTATATCCCCCAGTGAGTATTACCCCCCAGTATATCCCCCAGTTATTATTACCAGAGTCTGTCTCCCTTACCTTGGGTCCCTGTATAGTGTGCTGTCTGTATACAGAGTCTGTGTCTCCTTTACCTGGGGTTCCTGTATAGTGTGCTGTCTGTATACAGAGTCTGTCTCCCTTACCTTGGGTCCCTGTATAGTGTGCTGTCTGTATACATAGTCTGTGTCTCCTTTACCTGGGATTCCTGTATAGTGTGCTGTCTGTATACAGAGTCTGTCTCTCCTTTACCTGGGGTCCCTGTATAGTGTGCTGTCTGTATACAGAGTCTCTGTCTCCTTTACCTGGGGTCTCTGTATAGTGTGCTGTCTGTATACAGAGTCTCTGTCTCCTTTACCTGGGGTCTCTGTATAGTGTGCTGTCTGTATACAGAGTCTCTGTCTCCTTTACCTGGGGTCCCTGTATAGAGTGCTGTCTGTATACAGAGTCTCTGTCTCCTTTACCTGGGGTCCCTGTATAGTGTGCTGTCTGTATACAGAGTCTCTGTCTCCTTTACCTGGGGTTCCTGTATAGTGTGCTGTCTGTATACAGAGTCTGTCTCTCCCTTACCTGGAGTCCCTGTATAGTGTGCTGTCTGTATACAGAGTCTCTGTCTCCTTTACCTGGGGTCTCTGTATAGTGTGCTGTCTGTATACAGAGTCTCTGTCTCCTTTACCTGGGGTCCCTGTATAGTGTGCTGTCTGTATACAGAGTCTGTCTCCCTTACCTGGGGTCCCTGTATAGTGTGCTGTCTGTATACAGAGTCTGTGTCTCCTTTACCTGGGGTCTCTGTATAGTGTGCTGTCTGTATACAGAGTCTCTGTCTCCTTTACCTGGGGTCCCTGTATAGTGTGCTGTCTGTATACAGAGTCTCTGTCTCCCTTACCTGGGGTCCCTGTATAGTGTGCTGTCTGTATACAGAGTCTCTGTCTCCCTTACCTGGGGTCCCTGTATAGTGTGCTGTCTGTATACAGAGTCTCTGTCTCCTTTACCTGGGGTCCCTGTATAGTGTGCTGTCTGTATACAGAGTCTGTGTCTCCCTTACCTGGGGTCCCTGTATAGTGTGCTGTCTGTATACAGAGTCTGTCTCTCCTTTACCTGGGGTCCCTGTATAGTGTGCTGTCTGTATACAGAGTCTCTGTCTCCTTTACCTGGGGTCCCTGTATAGTGTGCTGTCTGTATACAGAGTCTGTCTCTCCTTTACCTGGGGTCCCTGTATAGTGTGCTGTCTGTATACAGAGTCTCTGTCTCCTTTACCTGGGGTCCCTCAGAGAGTGCTGTCTGTGGCTACAGAGTTCTGTCTCTTTACCTGGGGGTCTCTGTATAGTGTGCTGGGGTCTGTATACAGAGTCTCTGTCTCCTTGTACTCCGTGGGGTCTCTTGCAGTGTGCTGTCTGTGGCACAGAGCCTCTGTCTCCTTTACCTGGGGTCCCTGTATAGTGCTGTCTGTATACAGAAAGTCTGTGTGTCTCCTACCTGGGGTCCCTGTGTATAGTGTGCTGTCTGTATACAGAGTCTGTTCTCCTTTTTACCTGGGGTCCCTGTATAGTGTGTGCTGTCTGTGGCTGAAAGCCTCTGTCTCCTTTACCTGGGGTCCTGTATAGTGTGCTGTCTGTATACAGAGTCTCTGTCTCCTTTACCTGGGGTCCCTGTATAGTGTGCTGTCTGTATACAGAGTCTGTCTCCCTTACCTGGGGTCCCTGTATAGTGTGCTGTCTGTATACAGAGTCTCTGTCTCCCTTACCTGGGGTTCCTGTATAGTGTGCTGTCTGTATACAGAGTCTGTGTCTCCCTTACCTGGGGTCCCTGTATAGTGTGCTGTCTGTATACAGATTCTGTCTCTCCTTTACCTGGGGTCCCTGTATAGTGTGCTGTCTGTATACAGAGTCTGTGTCTCCTTTACCTGGGGTTCCTGTATAGTGTGCTGTCTGTATACAGAGTCTGTCTCTCCTTTACCTGGGGTCCCTGTATAGTGTGCTGTCTGTATACAGAGTCTGTCTCTCCTTTACCTGGGGTCCCTGTATAGTGTGCTGTCTGTATACAGAGTCTGTGTCTCCTTTACCTGGGGTTCCTGTATAGTGTGCTGTCTGTATACAGAGTCTCTGTCTCCCTTACCTGGGGTCCCTGTATAGTGTGCTGTCTGTATACAGAGTCTGTCTCTCCCTTACCTGGGGTCCCTGTATAGTGTGCTGTCTGTATACAGAGTCTGTGTCTCCTTTACCTGGGGTCCCTGTATAGTGTGCTGTCTGTATACAGAGTCTCTGTCTCCTTTACCTGGGGTCCCTGTATAGTGTGCTGTCTGTATACAGAGTCTGTGTCTCCCTTACCTGGGGTCCCTGTATAGTGTGCTGTCTGTATACAGAGTCTGTCTCTCCTTTACCTGGGGTCCCTGTATAGTGTGCTGTCTGTATACAGAGTCTCTGTCTCCCTTACCTGGGGTTCCTGTATAGTGTGCTGTCTGTATACAGAGTCTGTGTCTCCCTTACCTGGGGTCCCTGTATAGTGTGCTGTCTGTATACAGATTCTGTCTCTCCTTTACCTGGGGTCCCTGTATAGTGTGCTGTCTGTATACAGAGTCTGTGTCTCCTTTACCTGGGGTTCCTGTATAGTGTGCTGTCTGTATACAGAGTCTGTCTCTCCTTTACCTGGGGTCCCTGTATAGTGTGCTGTCTGTATACAGAGTCTGTCTCTCCTTTACCTGGGGTCCCTGTATAGTGTGCTGTCTGTATACAGAGTCTGTGTCTCCTTTACCTGGGGTTCCTGTATAGTGTGCTGTCTGTATACAGAGTCTCTGTCTCCCTTACCTGGGGTCCCTGTATAGTGTGCTGTCTGTATACAGAGTCTGTCTCTCCCTTACCTGGGGTCCCTGTATAGTGTGCTGTCTGTATACAGAGTCTGTGTCTCCTTTACCTGGGGTCCCTGTATAGTGTGCTGTCTGTATACAGAGTCTCTGTCTCCTTTACCTGGGGTCCCTGTATAGTGTGCTGTCTGTATACAGAGTCTCTGTCTCCTTTACCTGGGGTCCCTGTATAGTGTGCTGTCTGTATACAGAGTCTGTCTCCTTTACCTGGGGTCCCTGTATAGTGTGCTGTCTGTATACAGAGTCTCTGTCTCCTTTACCTGGGGTTCCTGTATAGTGTGCTGTCTGTATACAGAGTCTCTGTCTCCTTTACCTGGGGTCTCCTGTATAGTGTGCTGTCTGTATACAGAGTCTCTGTCTCCTTTACCTGGGGTCCCTGTATAGTGTGCTGTCTGTATACAGAGTCTGTCTCCCTTACCTGGGGTCCCTGTATAGTGTGCTGTCTGTATACAGAGTCTGTGTCTCCTTTACCTGGGGTCCCTGTATAGTGTGCTGTCTGTATACAGAGTGTCTGTCTCCTTTACCTGGGGTCCCTGTATAGTGTGCTGTCTGTATACAGAGTCTGTCTCCTTACCTGGGGTCCCTGTATAGTGTGCTGTCTGTATACAGAGTCTCTGTCTCCTTACCTGGGGTCCCTGTATAGTGTGCTGTCTGTATACAGAGTCTCTGTCTCCTTTACCTGGGGTCCCTGTATAGTGTGCTGTCTGTATACAGAGTCTCTGTCTCCTTTACCTGGGGTCCTGTATAGTGTGCTGTCTGTATACAGAGTCTCTGTCTCCTTTACCTGGGGTCTCTGTATAGTGTGCTGTCTGTATACAGAGTCTCTGTCTCCTTTACCTGGGGTCCCTGTATAGTGTGCTGTCTGTATACAGAGTCTGTCTCCCTTACCTGGGGTCCCTGTATAGTGTGCTGTCTGTATACAGAGTCTCTGTCTCCCTTACCTGGGGTTCCTGTATAGTGTGCTGTCTGTATACAGAGTCTGTCTCCCTTACCTGGGGTCCCTGTATAGTGTGCTGTCTGTATACAGAGTCTCTGTCTCCCTTACCTGGGGTCCCTATGTTGCTTGTCTGTTTCTGGTCTGTGGAATGAACAAGATGTTTTGATACATGCTATGCCCAACCTCTAGACATGTTACTGAAACCCACCCATTCCAGGGAGGGTCACATCCAGAAGGATACACAGGAGAAATTTTTTTCAGTTTTTATAGATTCAGTTACCCACCTGCTACAATGTCATGTACCTACCCTGTATTAAGGCTGTCCTAAAAGACTGTGTTAAAACTGCAATTCGTGTGTTTATTCTTCTGTATAGTTAAAACTGTATGTAGTAGTCGTATGATTGTTCGGTAGTTTCCATCCGTATTCCATACGAATGAAAACTACCGAACCAATAGACCACCCCAGAGAGAAGTGTGTACCTTATTAGGCTTCACACTTCTCTTCCGCACTTTAATTGGTACTTTGTGCATGTATCTGGGTGGCTGCTGTTCGGCATACGAACACGTGGCGGCGGCCATCGTACGCACGAAAACCTCAGCGGTGTTTGGTCGTTGAGTGTCTGGAACTCAAATCGGACACTCAATTACCTCAACACCGCTGAGACCTCCAGGGCTCCGTATCTCCCGAACGGGAAGGCAAATCAGCCCCCCATTCGGTAAGTTAAAAGTACCGAACAAGGGGATGCATGCGAATGCAATGTTAATCGTGGATGTCAGGTGTTTTACCTCCCGAATGGAGACCGACCGCAGGACCAAAACACATGGAACCCTTTTCGGCTACCACCTTGTGTGCGGTCGGTCAAATTGTCCCTTCCACATAACTCCCGCACCCCTGGTGAATTTTGGATATGTTGGTCACCCAAATCAGGGCTACCAGGGGGTGCCACTTAGCCCCTTGTACCTAACTGTTTTGGGGTACATCCAGAACTCGGGGGAAATTGCAGCAGATATAATGGGATTATGTGTCACACTGAGGGGAGGAGATGTGTGGGAGGTAACTGTGACATTATTGGTGTAACGATCACCTGGCACCCCGACTGGGTACCTCCATTGAAGGACGCTCTTAGCGCTTCCTGAGGACTCCAAGCACTGCAGCAGACACCACAACCACTGAACCGGAGAAGCATACGAATGCTCTCAAGCATATGAATGCTGTAAGCAGCTGAACAGGAAAAGCATTCAATCAGCTTACACTCCTGGCAATCAGCATACAATCCAATTCCCCCAATAACGAGACAACACTTCGTTTTGAGGTCAAGCAGAACTGACTGTACTGGCACATACAGCCTCTTTTATTCCCAATCCACAAACTTAGTACTACCCACAGGGTTTTACAGAACAACCAATAACACATGTACATTATAGAAAACACTCCCAGCAATTATACACAAAATCCTCCCCTCTGCCTGTGATCTAATTATAGTCAGTGGTGTATCCTGGTTTTGTGCTGCCCTAGGCAGGACAAAACTCAGGCGCCTCCGCGCCAGCCCCACCCAACCCTTCCCTCCACCCCTCCTTCTAAATACACACACACACATTCACTGACAGATACGCATACACACGCTACCAGACACACACACACAGACACACACATACACACTAACAGACACAAACTGTCAGACACACACACACACACTGACAGACACACACAGTCAGACACACACACACACACTGACAGACACACACAGTCAGACACACACTAACTCACTAGCAGACACACTCACACAGTCAGACACACACACACATTAACAGACACACACACATTAACACATTTTTTAATTTTTTTTATTTACCCCCCCCTTACCTTTGGGAATGCTGGGGGTGGGGTTCTCTATCTCCCTGGTGGTCCAGTGGCTGTGGGCGGTGCTGGGCTGGGCGGGTGGCTGGCGAGGGAGCTCTTCCTCTGAGCTGTCCGCTCAGCTCCCTTGCACCCCGGCCGCCCGCCCAGCGCCGCCCGCCCACTCGGCATGTCTGTTAGCCGCAAGGCTAACAAAGCATTCGCCCTGGGCATTTGGGGGCATTTTTTGCCGCCCCCTGAAAAATGCCGCCCAATGCAAATGCCTTGTTAGCCTAGCGGCTAAAACGCCCCTGATTATGGTACACAATGGGTTAACATAATTATCACAAGCAGGGAAAATACAGTTTTTATACATGTACTATAACTTTAAAAATATACATCCAATCGTCATAACAATTACATATTAATCAGCACACTTTAAATATAAACATACCCAAAAATCATTCAAATCCGTTCAGCCGTTCGGGAGATAGATATAAGTCAAATATGACCGACCGCAAGAATATTTTCATGCCCAAAACCGTTCCATAGATTCAGGCTGTGCGGTCGGTCTATTTCCCATGTTAAAGCGGCACTGTCATGCCTAATCCTGTTTTGTTTTTGTTTTTTAACCCCACCTCCCGCCTCCACTATCTCTAATTGACACCCTAGTCACCCCCAAATGCCCCTAAGCCCCCCATATTACCTATTTATTATTCTTTATTTTCTGCCCCGATCTTGATTCAGGGCGCCGCCATCTTTGCGTGGGTAGAGGAAGTCCCTGTGGGACACGTCATCTGCCCACACTAGATGGCGCTGTGAGATTCCCGCACATGCCCAGTGAAACACCTGGACATGCGAACAGGAATTTCATTTATTCATTTATCAGACAGACGAATGAATGAATGAATAGAAATTTTAGATGAACAAACTAACACTGTGTATCTGTGTTCGTTTGTTTGTTCAGTTTATTACAAGGAGGGAACTACCGGCGCGCAGCTCCCTCCTTGTAATATGTAAAGATAGAAACGCAGGGAGCAGTGCTACCCGCCACTTCATAAGCCCCCCATGTCCTCCCTCACTGTAGCGGAGATGCAATATTCCCCAGGTTATCTCCGCTTATAATCCAAGTGAGGCTCAGGAACAAGTAAATAGTAAATCCACAGGCAAGGTTTCCAGCAGGTAAAATAACAGCAATATCCCAACAGCAATCCCAATAACTGACGACACACAGTTTCAGGAGCAGAACTGAAATCTTTAATCCACACTGTCCTTTTAAAGCATGCTCCCATGCAAGGGAGGGATTTACAATCATTAGTATAGTAGCCAATCCTGTCCTGGTAACCTCCCACACATCTCCTCCCCTCAGCCAGCATCATAATCCCCTTCTCCAGTACAGTAATTCCCCCCGTTTCTGGATGTACTAAACGTAGGGGTACCCCTTTAAATCCTACACCCCCTGATAGCCCTGATCTGGGTGAACAACATATCCAAAAATCACCCAGATCAGACCAGGGGTTCGGGAAATCTATGGAGGGAATAAAATGACCGACCGCACTGACTGAGACAGCCGAATGCGGTTCCATGCGAATGGGCCCTGCGGTCGGTCCTGGAGTAAGGGAACAAACTGCACGAAAGCCTCTAGCTATAGAGGCTAGGGAGGGTTCGCCTGAATCCCCTCGTTCGGTTCTTTCTATCTACCGAACGAGGGGCCGTTCGGTAGTTAGGAACCGAACGGACCGGGCTTGTGGAGGTTTCAGCGGTGTTCGCCTAGTCGAGTGTCCGATTTGAGTTCCAGACACTCGACGGCAAAACACCGCTGTTCAGGAGTTTTAAAATGGCCGCCGCCACGTGTTCGTTTTTCGAATGGCGGCCATCCCCGAGAACAAAGGACGGCTACTTTACTTGCCAATTACTCGTTCGCAACAATGTTGCAACGGATAATTGAGAACACACTTCACACATGGGAGGTCTGACTGTTCGGTAGTTTCATTCGAATAAACTAAGGGAATGAAACTACCTAACATTCAGACGAATCCAATACATCAAATACATAGACTTTGTCATTTTCAAACGAATGCATAGAAATACATGAATTGTTCAGGACAGCACAGGGCCATCCGCTACACTCACTCTATGGGGGTCAATATGACCCCAATAATAGAACAAGGGAGATTAAAATCTCCCCAATGCCCCTACTTGCTATACCGCGAGTAGGAGCATGTCTACTAAACAGTGAGCAGCCTGTGGCTGCTCACTGTAAAAAAACAAAAAAAACAATTGGCCCCCACCCCTAAACGACGGGTGGGGGCCCTAAAGTAAAATAAGGGGGGAGACCTATTGTCCCCCCCCGGCCCCCACCCCTGCGCGGTGGGTGGAGGTCATAATGATAATGGGGAGGACAATGTCCCCCACCCCTGGGCGGCGGCCATAATGATAATGAGGGGGGGGAGACCTACTGTCCTCCCCCCCCCACCGGCCCCCACCCTTGGCGGCGGGTGGGGGCCATAATGATAATGAGGGGGGCCTACTGTCCACCCCCCCTCCGGCCCCCACCCCTGGGCGGCGGGTGGGGGCCATAAAGATAATGAGGGGGTGGGACCTACTGTCCGGCCCCCACCCCTGTGCGGCGGGTGGGGGCCATAAAGATAATGAGGGGGGACAACCTACTGTGCCCCCCGGCCCCCACCCCTGGACGGCGGGTGGGGGCCCTAAGTCAAATTCACCCCCCCAGGTGTCTATGGGTCCCCAAGCCCCTAGTCACCCACAACCCCACCCAAATAAAAAGTCTCCTACCTACCCCCCTCACCCTAAAAAATAGTGATGGGGGAATAAAATAACTAACCTGTAAAGTAAAATTAAACTTACCATTCGATGTCTTCTTTTTTTCTCAAATCTTCATTTTTCAGCCCCAAAAAAGGCCAAATAAAAAAACCATCATAACCGTCGAACTTAAAATAAAAATCCCAACGAAAAAGAAAAAAACAGATATAGCAGAGCTGCTGCAGAAAGTGCGGGCCGTCTGTGCGCGCTTTCGGCGTTCTCACCCTTCTGCTGCTCGCCTGTCTGCACTGCAGCATAACTTTGGCTTTCCCGCTCACCGCCTCATATGCGACGTGCCCACAAGGTGGAACTCCACCTTGCACATGCTGGAGAGACTGTGCGAGCAGCAGCAGGCGATAGTGGAGTTTCAGCTGCAGCACGCACGGTTCAGTCGCTCTGCGGAACAGCAGCACTTCACCACCATTGAGTGGGTCTCCATGTGAGACCTGTGTGCCATTTTGCACTGTTTCGAGTACTTCACCAGCATGACGCCGTTCTCAGCCTTACTATCCCACTTCTATGTCTCCTTG